AAGGCATTTTGAACAGCATATGACACTTAAAACACGTTGTTCATAAATAGTAAATGTGTATTAATGTTTATCGACATTTTCAGAGGACATATTAAATACTGTCCAAAGTAAACAAAGTATTAGTTCTTTTTGTGATTTTCCTGGTAAGTTCTCTTTCCTTTGAAATCCACAGAATTTCTTCCAATGTCACAAAGAATGTGTGTGATGAGGGGGTAGAAAGTGTACATATTACAGAAAATTTATTGGAGGTGATACTGTCCTAGCCCAGGCCTGAAAGATGAGTAGAAATCATTGAGGTGAAGTGGGAGAAGGGGACTATTTCAGTCAAAAAGAACTGAATTGAGAAAAAGCAGCACACTACACTACTAGCTTCCATCAAGTTCCATGTGCTTATGGAGTGTGAAGAGGAGAGCTGGGCCGATGAGGCTGGAGAGTGAAGCAGAGAAACAACCCCAAACCCTGTAGATCTCCTGAAGCAGTCGGATGGTGACAGTTTGCAGGAAGGCAGTGACAGGGTCACAGTTGTGTTCGTGAACACGGGGTCGGGGTGAACGGATGACAAGCACAGAGCATGGGAACAGTTAGGGAGATACCGCAGTTGAAGGCAATGGAAGGACCAATGTCTTATTAATACAAGTTCAAAAGAGAAAAAATAGAGAGCAGGGGAGAAGAGTCATCAAATAAATAATGAAAGAATCACATAAAACGGGAGGGTCTGAGTCTCCAGGCTGAAAGGGATGACCAGGTGTTAGCATGATAAATTACAAGGGAAAAGAAAAAGTCATATTGTGAAATTAAGTGACCAAAGCAAAGATAAATAATCCAAAAAGCGCACAGACATTTAAAAAAATCTACAAAGGACCAAGAATCAGAACAACATGGATACTAGTTAGAAGACAAAGCACTACCTTTAAAATCTGAGGAACTGATTTTTTTTTCATTTGAGGATTTTGTACCCAGCAAAACTTGCCAGGACGGTACAATAGACATTTTCCTACATTCCAGGATTCAGAAAGCTTCCTTCACCACTCCCCTCCTCATAGAGTTACTAGAGAATGTGGGGCAATACAACAAGGGGATGCGCTGAGAGAGGAGTTGTGGGATCCACGGCTGCAGATGAGCCTGAAGCCGTGAAGGGCAGTTCTATGCTGACACCTGGGCGGCATTCATGGGGTGACACAGTTTGGCTTGAAAGAGGCAAGATGGAGAACGTCTACCTGGAGATCTCCGAGAAAAAGAGCTCCACAGAATGCCTAAATAATGGAGAGTCGCGGTGTGGGAGGACCAACAGCATGAGATGACACCAGAGCAAACAGTTCAAGGGAAAAAGAACGGAATTCAGAAACATCCAGAAAACTAACATGAACAACATTCTCACAGCCCTGGCACTTCTGAACACCTTGTTTGGAACTGCAACTTTAGAATTAACCTAGAGGTAAAAAACAAAACAAAACAACAATCAAAAACCCACACAGTTAATCATGGTTGTAGATGATATATGTGTCATCCCGTGCGCGACATAAAAGAAAAAGTCCAGATGGGAAAACAGGCGAGGAGGAGGAGTTGGGAAGGAGAGATGAGAGACGCTGAGGTCCTGGTCTTACGAAGCATGGAATCAAGAGATGACATCTCTTGTTGATGGAGCAAGAACTGAACGCCTTATTTAACATGACAAATGCAACCCACCCCGTAACTCAAAACAGTGACCGATGATACTGGTCCGCTAAGGGTCATGCAAGCAAAGGGTGGTGAAAGCCAAATAAGCCCTCCCCTGCTCATTAGTGAACACTGCCCAGCGGTTATGAACTTGGGAAGAAGGAAGCAGAAATAACTATTAGAAGGAACAGCTGACATATTTAGAAACTGAATCTGTGCTATTTGCATTTCAGCCGTGCACAGAGATTGGCTAAAAGTCACACGCATATATCAGGCAAACATTTAACACATTTAAAGTAGGGTCTCTGAGCTCCTCTCTAGGCCCCGGACTTGCCTGATTCCTCTTGTTCTCCAGCAGCGAGGTCTCGTAGAGTTGTGCGTTGTGAAGAACAATCCCGCAAAATGCCAAGTACGCGGCGAAATCCTAGAAAACAGGCCAGACAACACCAAGTGAGAATTGTCTCTACAGCTGTCTGGGTCTGTTGCCGGAAACACAAAGGGCATCCAACGTTAGGGAGAGTTGAAATAAACACGGGAGAGCCCGAAGGAGAGATGTTTATTCTACATAAAATCAGGAAATGAGGCAGAGAGGGTGTGAGCAAAATGGCACCCCCTAGTGGGTGACCAGCACCAACACAGTCTCCAATGTTGTAAGTTAGGTAGACATGAACAAGGAGAGAGAGGGTGGTATGGAGACCTGGTCTCTTTATTAGAAATGGGAACCTGCTCTTATGCAAAAACTCGTGTGGCCTCTGAATGACGGTGACTCGGATCCATGCCAAGGAGATGCAAATGGCTTATAACTTCTTCCCGGGGCAAATACAGCTCACGTGCTCGTTAGGAGAAGACGGGCAATTACACTTCCCTCTAAAGTTGCAGATATTAGTTGAATTGTGTTCCTTTTAACAGGTAACTGTTGTCCTCACTATACTATACTCAGGTGGTGTGCTCACACTTACATTGCTTGTTGGTTAAAATAGATCTTTACCTGGCACACTGGACCCACATCGTGGATTCATTTTGCCAAGTGGTGATATGGCCTAAGGATCCCGGCCTTTCTAGAGGGGTCCACATTTCATTAACTATAAACAGATAAGCTTAGATAAGCTTTTCTGGCACAGAAAGCTGCCTAGAGCCATGCGTCCACCACACACGCTCAGGAGGCATTCACAGAAGGGAGAGTGGGTGCCCAGGACCCTGACTATACAGGCACTTGCTTTGTTCTGGAGCAATTTAGACACAGAGACCGACACCAGGGCCAACACAGCCCCAGTGTGGAGACAGAAGTCTTGCCTCACAAAGAGACTAACTTTCAGGGAGTGATGGACACAGCACTGGGCTTGGGGAGGAGGAACTGGAGGGGGGGGGGGGGGGGAGAATGGAGGCACCCTGGCACACGTGTAACGCCTCTTCAGGAAGAGGGATGGCAAACCCGCCAGTAGATGCAGCCGTGACCAGGTGTGCAGGCTGTGGTCCTGAGCGGAGGCAGATGGTGTGTGGCCTGTCACAGGACAATGCCGACGGCCCGCTTTCCAGAGCTGGTTCGCACGCTCAGCCTGAATGCACACCTCGGTGCCCTGCGGCCGTGTGCCCAGCTTAGAGGACATTGTGATTGGGCTTCACAGGGGGCAGGTCCGACGCCCAGCTGACCTGTGGTGCTGGCCTTGGAGCACGGCTCCAGGGGGTTTACTCGAGGCTGAATTTCTTTTTTTTCTTTTAAATAGATTTTTATCGATTTCAGAGAGGGAGAGGGACAGAGAGATAGAAACATCAATGATGAGAGAGAATCACTGATTGGCTGCCTCCTGCACGCCCCCTACTGGGGATTAAGCCCGCAACCTGAGCATGTGCCCTTGACCAGAATCGAACCTGGGACCCTTCAGTCCACAGGCCAACACTCCATCCACTGAGCCAAACCAGCCAGAGCAAGGCTGAATTTCTTAATAGCAGTGATGAAAGGTAGTGAGCAAACTGAAGGTCCATGTCACCCTCTGTATGGCCCCAATGTGCACGCGCGCGCGCACACACACACACACGCACGCACACACACGCACGCACACGCGCACGCACGCACACGCACGCACGCACACATACACGCCGTGGGGGAGGCGTGGCCACAGAGCGGAGCTGACTAGGTGGACGGCACGGGGTTCCCCTGCAGGTCACTGTGTCTGCCACAGGCGGCATCCGGACCATTTCAGATCACGTTAACCCACAGGGAGCTTGGTGACGGGCAGTGTGAGCAGCAGCTCCTCTGCAGGTCTGTCCACGCTGAGGAGACATCACACCAGACGCGCTCTGTACCTTCTCATCTTTCTCAGTGAATGTCCCGCCGTTTCCCGACTTCTTGTTGATGGCCTGGGCGACGCCGACAACCTGGTGTAAGGAGAGAAAAGTGTCCAAAATGATTGGTATGAATGCACCGGTGTGTTCGCAGCAGAATTTAAAACAGCAAACAAAACCAGGGTGCCAACCCGAGACAAAGCCCCCGCGAGCTCTGCAGCATCTACTGCAGTCTTTCGCTCTGACAAGAGTTTGAAAGTTTTTAACCTCCTGGGTCCCAAACTACACCTGACTTTGTGACATCACCTGGCATTGTGTTCTAGGCAGTGAAGATGCGGGCGGAACAAGAGAGATGGCAGATGCCATAATGGTGACATTCCAGTCAGTGTGAGGCTCGGGAGGAAGTCCCACCACCCCCTTCAGCACCCCGTTTTACAGACCAGCTAACAGGAAGTGAGGGGCCGGCATGGCCCACGCAGGCTTTCCACCTCTCTTCCAAACCCTAGGCCAGTGATGGCGAACCTTTTGAGCTCGGCGTGTCAGCATTTTGAAAAACCCTAACTTAGCGCTGGTGCCGTGTCACATATAGAAATTTTTTGATATTTGCAACCATAGTAAAACAAAGATTTATATTTTTGATATTTATTTTATATATTTAAATGCCATTTAACAAAGAAAAATCAACCAAAAAAATGAGTTCATGTGTCACCTCTGACACGCGTGTCATCGGTTCGCCATCACCGCCCTAGGCAGTCATCAAGTACAGACATATTCACGCCGTAGGCAAACAACAGCCCCAGACACGGCCTCATCCTAATCCCTGGAGCCTGGGAAGAGGTCACCTTACATGGCAAAGGGACTCTGCAGAGGCGATTAAGTTATAGATCACGCGAGTCATGTGGGGGGTGAGGGGCCCAGTGTTGGAGCAGGAGGCAGGATAGCCGGTCAGAGACAGGAAGATCTGGGCTACAGGGATGTGGGCAGCCTGCAGGCAAGAGAAGGATTCCTCCCGGACTCCGCACAGGAGCACAGCCCACCCACACCGATGTTAGCCCAGAGAGAACCAGTCTGCACTCTGGCCTCCAAACCATACCATGGCACATTCGTGTTGATTTAAGGCACTACCTTCCCGGTAGACTTCTACAGCAGCAGTGGCACTCAGGCGGCCATTAGAGTTGCTCTCACAATCCTCTTCCCCTCTCACCCCTCCGCACCCCATCCTGCATCTGCTTCACCAGAGAAACCTCATTCTCTTTGAAGCCTGACATCTCACTGCTGATGGTTTTCCTGCCATTAGTCCATCTCTGACACTAGGCCAGGCTTATCTTCCTGGGCCATTGCTTGGGGCATACAAGTTATGCCATCACTCAGCTGTTTTAATGCTCTACCCATCCATCCATCCACTCATCCACCCACTCATTCATCTATCCATCCATCCATCCATCCATCCATCCATCCATCCATCCACCCACCCATCCACCTATCCATGCATCCATCCATCCATCCATCCAGGATAAAAATCACAAATGGATTCCACACCCTCAACGCGCACTGAGATCGCTTACATGGCCTTTGATTAGAATCCTGCGACCTTTGTTCACGGGGTTCTTTGAACTATGACCTTCCTCTCTCTCGACAGAGGCCGAGTTTCCAAAGAGCAGCCCACAGACACCCCCGAGTCCTCTGTGGCAGCCATAATACCAGATGTCTGACAGCCAGGCCTTCCGGTCTTGCACCTCATCTCACACATCCTGAGTCTCCAACTAGCTTGTTTCCCGAGGACATGATGTAGGTCTTGCCCCTCACTGGGGCCTGTGTTGTCCTGACGCCTCCATGCCGATCAGTTGTTGTAGATGATGAGGGAGAAGTGTCCAAGGGACCACAATTTTTAGGCTGATGTACTTACTGGACAACTCACATTTGAATAAGAGTTAATAAATCTGCCCACTTTCCCTCTGCCTTTGGCTTGATATTAAGAGATCTGCCCGAACCCGAGGCCTTACATGGCAGTGATAAGTCTGTGCTCTTAATCAGCCTTTAGTGATGAAGTTAACACAGCGCAGAGGGACTTGGGGAGAATGGAAAAGAAAAGCTTGTGTTTATTTCAGTTTTTAATTTAAAAAATATAGAAAATCACAGAGAACAAGATGGTAAACACCATGTCGTTGTCAACTAGAACAATGGTAATAAGGGCCATGTTAAAAATCAGCTGTGACCTGGTCAGGGTGGCTCAGTTGGCTGGGCATCCTCCCATAAACCAAGAGGTGGCTGGTTTAAGTCCCCCATGGGGCACATGCCCAGGTTTTGGGCTTGATCCCCAGTAGGGGGTGGGCAAGAGGCAGCCAATGGCTGTTTCTCTTTCCATCTCCCTTCGTCTCTCTCTAAAATCAATTGAAAAGACATATTTAAAAATTTCAGCTTGCAGGTGGATCTGACTCAGTAGGTCTGGGTTGGGGCCTGAGAATTTGTTTCACTAAAAGTTCTCAAGTGACGCCAAATGCCAAGGTCTAGGGACAAAAACTACTTTTAGAACCACTGATAATAGAACTACAAAGTGTTACTACTTCGTGGTTTCTTTTTTTTAAGTTACATTAAGATAAAACTATCCCAGTAGGTGTGGCTAGTGGTTGAGCATTGACCTACGAACCAGGAGGTCACGGTTCAATTCCCAGTCAGGACACATGCATGGGTTGCTCGCTCCATCCCCAGTGTGGGGTGTGCAGGAGGCAGCCGATCAATGACTCTCATCATTGATGTTTCTATCTCTCTCTGTCTCTTCCTTCCTCTCTGAAATTTATATATATATAAAAGGGACTTTCTCCTTTCCAGTCCCATTGTACTTTCTACCAAATTTTGGTCATGTGACCCCCAGATAGCTGCATCACTGGCAGGCTCTTGCTGTGACGAACCATCTCCAGTGACCATCTGCACATGGGTCTCCTGGGCACAAGGAGAGCCCTCCTTCGATGCCACCTTCAGAGGCCGACAGAAACGTACACCTTCCCAGCCATGCCTGAGAGCTCCTGCCAACCTCACAGCCTGACCAGCCCTCTGCGTCCTCAGGCTTTTAAATCTCAGCCAGTCTGCTGGGCACAAACTGTGTCTCATTGTCGCTTTCATTTGCATTCTCTGGATTACCAGAGAGAAGGCACAGCTTTCGCATTTTTATTAGCTGCATCCATTTGCCTGTTCCGTGCTGCCTCTGTGCACCTTTGCCAGTTTTGACCTTTTGGTTGTTGTTTTGGGTTGTTGGGCTTTTATTAATAACCTACAGGCCTGGTGCACAAAATTCATGTATGGGGGCGTCCCTCAGCCTGGCATCCCCCATCCCGTAATCCAAGACTCCTAAGGGGATGTCAGACTGCCAGTTTAGGACATCCCTCTCGCAATCCAGGACCGCTGGCTCCTAACTGCGCCCTTCGAACCCCCAGCACAGGCATGCTGAGAGCTCTCCGCTGTGACCCCGCCCCCATCCTGATTGGTAGTGATGTTACTGCATCCCTGGAGAATTTGCATATTCCTCTATTATTAGTATAGATTTAAGAATTGAGGTTTGCCATTTCTTTAAATGGCTGCTAAGGCCCCTGTCTGTTGCGGTCCATTTTGTCCACCTGTATGTATAAGCAGTATACCGACTGTCTCCATCTTCTGAGTGTCTTTCTGGGTGTGGTGGGCGGGGGACCAGGCAAGTGTGAGAACAGGACTGGCTGCTTTGGGCTTCCCCACATGCCTGGGGCAGGGAAAGGCCCCAGTGGATGAGAGGCAAGTCGCAAGACACAGCAACAGGGCCCTGAGGGTAACTGGTGTCGGACATACTTGACCGAGGGCCAGTGCTGCTAACAGAGTTGATGACTCTATTCCCAGCCGACATAGGCAAGAGTCAGAACGCGGAAAAGTTTGCCATTTCAGGAAGTGAAGGGAGGCCTGGTACAGGGCAGGCCCTTGGCATCTGCTCATTCACTTAACCTTTAGAGCAGGGGTCCTCAAACTACGGCCCGCGGGCCACATGCAGCCCGCCAAAAACATTTATCCGGCCTGCCGGGTGTTTTTGCCGCCGCTGCCTGTCCTGCTTAGCTGCCGACTCGTCCCGGGCCCGCAGTGCGCATGTGTGGAGGGACAGTGAACTGGCCCCTGTTTAAAAAGTTTGAGGACCTCTGCTTTAGAGCAGCACCTTCAGCTGGGCATTACCCTTCCCATGTTACCACAGGGGCAGCCGAAGCTCAGGAAAGTTAAGTGGGTCACCCCAACATGGCAGCCGACCTCTCCAGTCTGATTCCAAAGCCTGCGTCCTTATTTTATATATATAATATGTTTTCATTGATTTCAGGGAGAGAAAGGGAGAAGGAGAGAGAATCATTGACCGGCTGCCTCCTGCACGCCCCTACTGGGGATCAACCCGGGCCTGTGCCCTGACCCGGAATCAACAGTGATCTCCTGGTTCATGGGTTGATGTTCAACCACTGAGCCACGCCGGCTGGGAAAAAGCCAGCGTTCTTTCTGCTCCTGCCCCGGGCCCAGGGCAAAGTGCGAGCAGGCCCGCTGTGGGCACGGGCTCTGAAGCGCCATTCTGCAATGGAACTGCTCAGCCCGGGGTCCCCAGTGCAGCCAGGGCTGTCTCCCCCCCACCCCCGCCCCACACACATGCTCATATGGTTAATGCATATTTCCACCCGAGGCAATGGAACAATTTCAGCATGAGAACTTTGAGAAACAAAGATGAATCCAGAGTGGCCGCTAGACATGCTGTTTTCTTGACTGCGATTATAAATCTCATGACACATTCTTACAGCCAAGAATCACTCATGCAACATAAAAAAAGTCCTACATTTCAGGGAGGAACAGATAATAATGCCTTTTCAAAAGCCAGTAGGTTCTTGCAGAAAAAGCCGGAGGGACGGATGGTGATCGCAGTCAGAACAGCGGGGGCTGACTGGGGTGAGGGTCCATGTTCTAGCTCTTGACTGGGCTGTCAGTTACACAGATGTAAACACGTTTGTCGCAACACGTCCAATTGTACATTCAGGTCTGTGTCTTTTACTGTATGTAAATTTTAGTCGGTTTTCAAAACAGGATTTAAAAGTGAAAAGTGAACT